GAGGAGCGGCAGGAAGTAACATTTCCAAGTGCCTATTTGTAGCAGGCATGATGCCAATTATTTTTGCATAATTGTTATCTCCATTTAATGTTCTTCACGTTATAAGTTGGTAAATTTCCAAAAGCAAAGTCACTCAGAACAAATCATGCTTGGCGAGTATGGACAATGATATTTTAATAACTATGTATGGTGCCAGGTGGGTACTTAAAATACTGGGGGCAAGGGGGGTTACTGTATAAAGTATATCATTGTCTGGCCACTGCGCTGTACATCTGAAACTAATACAAAATAGGGTTAAATGTAAACAAACAAACAAACAAATAAATAAATAAAATGGAGTCATTTGCTATTTAAAAGAAAAAATAAAATAAAGTGAATAACCTAATAATATGCACTAAAATAAGAAATGGAAATGTCAAATAAGCAAATCTTTTTTAGCTACTCTTTTATTATAGAACTGTAAAATATCTGGAACAATAGCTCATCCCTTCAGAAACAAACAGAAGGCAATATTACATATTCCATTTTCCTTTCAGAGTTCTTTTTGTCATTTAATATTATGGACATGCTTATAGTGTGGTATTAAAAGATAATTGTGTGACAAAAGGCAGCTCTTCACTTCTTCTTTTTTTAAAAGGGATAAATCATGCTTCTTCTGCTACTCACATCCAAATTGAAGTATAGCTCAGCTTGGAGTTTTAGACCAATTTTGGACCACTTAAAGGGTCTTCACTGATCTTTCTTTAGTTCCAGATAATAATTAAGAATACCCATAAGAGCCGTAGCCGGTTTGGCTCAGTGGGTAGAGCGTCGGCCTGCAGACTTGAAAGGTCCCAGGTTTGATTCCGGTCAAGGGCATGTACCTTGGTTGCATGCACATCCCCAGTAGGACGTGTGCAGGAGGCAGCTGATCGATGTTTCTCTCTCATCGATGTTTCTAGCTCTCTATCCCTCTCCCTTCCTCTCTGTAAAAAATCAATACAATATTTTGTTTTTAAAAAGAATACCCATAAGAGATTAAAAATCATAACATTCTGTTTTATCTTTATATAGTTGAATAGCTCATACAGCCTGATTTACGGATAAAGACAGAAAGTTAAAACTATATTATTTTTCCATTTTTATTGGGCTATTATCTATCACAGCTCTAAGAAAACTCTTCATATAATAATGTAATCATGTACAGTTCTTGGGGATGAAGACCATCACTAATGCCACTGCTTTTCAACATTGAGGGACTCTGTTATATATCAGTGAGGCAACTACCATGTCTCATTTTGTTTATATTCATACAGATATAAATGAAGATCAAAAGAAAATTTCATAAGTATATTATAAGACTACTTACTCTCTACAGTGAGAATTAAGACCTACTAGTAAACAGAATAGCCTCTGCTTAACCACTATTTGAAACATTATAATTTATTCAACAAAGGTTTGATATTTGAACATTTTAAGATTTTGTTGACTGGTATTTCACACAACCATTTAAAAACATTTGACAAATAAATTTAAGATAACACTAAATAAAAATATTTTAGAAAATCAAATTCTGAACACAACTTTTTACATTAATTGTCCTATTGACTCAGCCAATTTTCTATCAATTGAGGCTCTATTTGGGACAGCTCTTGATTTCCTTAAGAATAACATACCTCAAAATAATACTTCTTGTGTGTCTCCTGTACGCCCATTCCTAGGATGGTAATCATTACCCACAAATAGGTGATGAAGAGAAATTCAACCAGTGAAGCTCATCCCAAGACCCTCATAACTCTCTTTACCTCTTAATCCTGGATTCAGTTCATTTTTTATCATTGCTATGCCTCAAATATATTTTTTGATCAATTAATTTTTAAAAAACTAATTATTAACAACTAATGTAGGAAAGTTACTTTAAAGACATGAGATACAATGGTGACTGAGAAAAATATAGTTCCTGCTTTCATGCATTACACAGTCCAGCAGGATCATCATTCCCTCCAAATTTTAGATACTGAACCTTAAAGCATGTGGCTCTACGTTTTCCTGGGCAATTATGTATATATCTCTCTCTTGGTCCAAATTGGTGACATTGGAAGTAGCCTATGTGGGCATCTCTTCAGCCTATGATGGGATTATGAGTTAGCAAGTTTGTGGAATGAAGCAGAATTTATTCATGCCGTAAATGTTTATTGAGTACTAACTATAAACTAGATGATCAGAGTTACAATTTTGGCAAGAGTAGACATAGTCTCAGCTCCCAGAGGATTTTACATTCTAGAAGATTAAATGTTTAAGAGGGAGAAATTAATTTGTCACAATACAGTACAGATCCCAAGACTCTCTTTTTCCCTCCCGCACAGTAAGCACAACTCAAAACAAGCAATGAAATCTTACTCCTGCCAGTGGAACTCCAGTTAGTGACTGTGGCCTTGAAGAACTCATTGTCCTATGCAAACTGAATCCATGAATTACCAGTATTATTCAAGATATCTTTGTTCAATCTTTGCATTTATATCCACAGGCAAGTCCTGATGGCCATTTCTGAGAAACAGTCTAGTCTTCAGAAAATCTGTAGATGATATCTGGTGCCTTCCTTGGTAGTCTGGGCTCACCTGCTCACAGGTGTGTATGGGTATCATCACCAAGAAACAGAGATCTGGTCTCCCTGGCTGTACCTCCCAAATTCTTTCCTGTCAATGGTTATGTTATTGGAACAAAGTCATTTGGCCTTATCTTCAACTAAGAAATGATGGAGTTCGGCCGGAAGAGATTAAAAAATTCTGATTCTGTATTTACTTATTCACATCATTCCTAAACTTTGATGCAAGTATGGCTGAAGACACTGGTGGGGACAAATACATATCTCCATCCTCTGATCATTCCACTTTTCAATGCAAACAAATAAGTAATACAGTTTCTTCCTAATATGAATGGTTCTTAGCATTTGGAGAAAACACTCACATGATAATCCTCACAGATCACATGGCAGATATCACAGCAGATACATTTGGGCCACTCCTTTTCATGTGTTTGGGAAGAGTATTTCCAATTTGTGGATTAATGTGCAGACTAAGAAAGATGTACTTATAAAGCACCTAGGCAGTGTTTGGCAAACTCATTAGTCAACGGAGCCAAATATCAACAGTACAACGATTGAAATTTCTTTTGAGAGCCAAATTTTTTAAACTTAAACTATATAGGTAGGTACATTGTTATTAACTTAATTAGACACACACACACCCTTTGATCCTATCAGTCAGCTTCCTGCCTTCAAAGGCTTTGCACCAGCTCCTCTTTCTCATGGAAAAGTCTTCTCAAGATATCTTCTGCATGACCCCTTCCTTCTCCCCTGCTTAGAATCTTTGCTTCTCAATGGGGATTTCCTAGACTATCCCATTTACAATTTTTACAATTTAACTCTCACCATCCTCAGCTCCCCATCTCTATTCCAGCCAAGACTCTCTCACACCTTCCCTGCTTCCTTGTTCTCTTTGATACTTACAAGCATTTGGAATGAATATATATATATATATATATATATATATATATATATATATATATAACTTTTTCATTGGTTTATTGCTTGACTCTGCACATTGTCCCTTCATACTAGAATATAAACTCAATAAGAGTGAGCATTTCTGTATGTTTTGTTCCTGGCTGTGTCCAGCACCTAGAACAGTACCTGGAGCAGTGCAGGCATTCAATACATGTGTGTTGAATAAATGCCCATTTCATAATGGAAGCAACTGAGGCTCAATGAAATGAAAAACCTCGGCCCAGGTCCCACTGTGTGAAAGACAGAGCTAGAACTACTAGAAAAATCCATTCTGTCTGCCTTTTAATGCTCCCCGACTCTGAGCTATCAGCCTTTGATATTAATTAATCCATTCTTTTTGACACCAAGTGTCTCCAGGCTTGAATATCTAGTTGTCCAGACTTGAACATCCAACTGTCAACCTGATATCTCACTTGAGAAACAATAGAAATTTCAAACATAACGTATCCAAAATAAAAAATGCTCATCTTCATTGGTAGACCAACTGAAAATGAATAAAAGCCTGAAATGCATATGCATATAAATTTTTAAAGAGTAATTCTTTAAAATAATTGCACTTATATTTAGTTATACTAATTAAATTAATAGCATTTAGTGGATAATCCATAAAATTCATATGAAAACACTACCTACCTGACAGTATTGTTCTGAGGAGTTAGTGTGTTAACACAGGTGTTATGAAAGTGTTGTCATTATTATTATTGGTTTTGGTCTCTACAGAAACTTGTTTCAATGGCTTAATAAAGATAATGCTTAAAATTTATAGGATAGTGCTTAAAAACAGACATATAACATCAGATAACATGGGGCTGAAGACTCATTTCCAAAGAGTACCATCAATGTAGGCTTGGGACAGGTCTCATTTTTTCCACATCTTCTTTCACAGTCTAAAATATAATACCAGTTGTACTTACCTCAAAATATGGTTATGAATTAAGTTAGTAAATAATTGTTAATAGCCATAAAGCCTTCAGAAAGTACCTACCATGTGATTAGTGATAAATAATTGGGAGCACTCATTCTTACCAAAAATAAATAAAATTAAATTAGCAGATGGAAACTGAAAACTTTAGTCCAAGGAATTATCTGATAATATGTAGCCTCACATACTATCCCCTTCAAAAAAGAGAGAAAAGAGAAGAGAAAAAGTTCTTTTCCAAAAAAATACCTTTAAGCTTTCCATTTTTTACAACTCTGTTCTGTCATCCTAGACTAAGGAAAGCCAATTGCCCAAAACACGGATCACAACTGAAATTCAAGAACTTGTGATCATCTGGGCAGTTGTTCTGCAAACCAGATTATGTGCTCATTTTCCTTTTTACAATTACGTAAACCTGACTCAGCATCCTGGCAAGAAAACAATAATGTTCTTACATTTATTACTGGTGTCATAGTAAACATGAGGATGCACATTTTTAAATAACTTCAGCAATGTAGAAATCAGAAAGGTCAGATCTTCATGAGAGAGGACCTGATCCTTAGAAAGCTTGCCTAATCTCTTGTTATTTTGTTTTTTGCATCAGTATCCCTCCACTGCTGTCTTAGAATCAGGAGGAGAGACAGAAGAGCATCATCTTGAAGGTAAGGCAGCCCTTCTTGGACTGGAGCCTCCCCTCTGTGTTTCTCTAGCTCCTTCTCATCTGAAAAACTGGAAATAATAGCACTTCTGACTTAGAAAGGAGCTAGGAAGAGCGAGATCAACAGTCCCTTAGCCAGCATTGAGCCACCAATAAACACCATTATATGATAGTTATTCTTATGAAAGTTTGTCAGAGATCTAATTAATCTTCTGAAATGAATAATCCACCAATTATTATTCTATAATCTAAATAAATGCCATGTTCCAAACTAAATTCTTAATCCTACTTTGGACTTTTCAGTTGTAGTTTCCCATTTTCAGAAAGGATAGTGGTAAATGTCACATCATAAGAATTTAAAAAAAAAAATAAGTGATCCTTATGTATTTTTTGTAGTTTCAAAAAGGTTCATCTGACCATAAAGCACTCTCATTTTATTGTGCAGGGAAATTGCATGTCAGTAAAGCACATACGTAGGAGATTCTCCAATAGTATTATTCATTGTGTATGAGCAGCCGCTTAGCCCAGTTAAAGCACAAGTATGAAGTCAAGTAATTCCAGAATTAGAATCCTATCCCCTCTGTTCATTGCCTCTGGGACTCTAGGTAACTCTCTGAATCCAAGTTATTTTACCTATAAAATAAACTAATAATTTCTCTTTACAATACTGGTATGAAAAGGACATAACTAGAACCACACACACACACAAAAGAAACCAGCACATTGCCTATCCCAAAGCAGATTCCCAATACATGTTTGAATTTTCACTCTATTTGTAACCTTCACTCTACTATAGTCTCAAAATGCAATAATCTAGACATCAATATGCATAATCACTCACATCAATATAACATTTTAGACTTTGCAAATTGTTTGCATTTAGATAATTAGAAATTGAGGTTCCAAGAACATAGTTGTCTTTTACAAAGTTGCTCAGGTGCAGAGCTGAGAAGGCAGGCCCCGGTCCAGCAGACTGGCCACACTTCACTCCCTCCTTCAGAGCCACTCACACGCCATGCTAGGGTGATCTATTCTTTCTTTTTAAAATATTTTCTTGAATTTATTGGGGTGACATCAGTTAATAAAATTATGTAGGTTTCAGGTGTACAATTCTATAATAAATCATCTTGCATTGTGTGTTCACCCCCCAAGTCGTTTCCTTCCATCATCATTTATCCCCCACTTACCCTCTTCTACCTCCCTCCACCCCCCTTTCTCTCTGGTAATCACCATACTGTTGCTTGTATCTATGAGGCTTTGGGTTTTTTTCTTTAATCCCTTCACCTTTCTCACCCAGTCCCCCAACTCCCCTCCCCTCTGACAGCTGTCAGTCTGTTCTATGTCTCTACGAGTCTGTTTCTGTTTTGTTTGTTAGCTTATTTTGTTCATTAGATTTCATATATAAGTGAAACCATATGGTGCTTGTTTTTCTCTGACTGGCTTACTTCATTAAAAATAAATACCTCGGACTAAATTTAACCAAGGATGTAAATGACCTGTACTCTGAAAATTATTAGACACTGAAAAAAGAAATTGAAGAAGATACAAATAAGTGAAAGCATATACCACTTTATGGATAGAAAGAATTAACATCATTAAAATCTTCATACTACCCAAAGCAATTTATACATTCAATGCAATTCCTATCGAGATATTAATGGCATATTTCACAGAACTATAACAAATATTTCAAAAATTTATATGGAATCACAAAATACCCCAAATAGCCACAGCAGTCTTAAGAAAGAAGAATAAAGTTGGAGGAATCATGCTACCCGATATCAAACTATACTATATGACTATAGTAATCAAAACAGCATGGCACTGGCATAAAAACAGACATATAGATCAATGGAACAGAACAGAGAGCCAAGAAATAAATTGGCCATAAAGATGTGGACCTTTATGGCCAGTTAATATTTGACAACTGGGTAATCTATTCTTTAAGGAGCAGTTTTCATAAAAAGAAAAGTATCCTAGGTCTGTAGATTATTACTTTGACTTAGAAAATTTCAACAGAAATGCTTAAGGCCAGATTTTAAATTGCAAGGGGAAATCATATGTGCTTTCCTGCCCTTACTTCCTCAGAGTGTGTCTTCCACACAGTTATAGGGACTCACCCCCTTTGCTGCAGGCACCTGGCCATTCTTGAGTGCCATGAAGCATCATGGGATATAAGCCTTTGTGGGGTCTATCAAAGTAACTAAACAAGCCTCCACTAAATGTAATCAGTGCTTAGTTTACAGGGGAGTCCTAATTGTCTAGACTAGTACCAGTCACATAGTAGTGCTCAATCTAGATTGGTGGTGGTGTTTTTTGGGCAATGATTTCTTCTTTTAATTGAATCATTGTGTTACATTGGTTAATAAAATAATATGGATTTAAGGTGTACAATCCTATAATACACCATCTGCAAATTGTGTTGTGTGTTCACCACCCAAAGTCATGTCTCTTTCCACCATCATTTATCCCCCCTTACTTTTTCTTACCTCTCCCTATCCCCTTTATCTCTAGCAATGACAATACTGGTGTTGGTCTATGATTGTCTTAAAGAGAAAATTCTACTTCACATGAATAGCATTCTGACTGACTTCAAACAAATCCCACACATCCATGATCTGACTCTCAGTCTGAACTCCTATTAAATTTAGAATAGTTGTCCAAGAGTTGTCCATCTCATGGTGTCTCCCCATTTGGACAGTAAAGGTCCAGGTCAAGGGCTGGGTCTTGCCTCTTGAGAAAAGAATAACTAGCATGACATATACTGAATACATGAATGACTTCTCTTTGAGAAATTACTAAGTTATTAATTTACTTTTGTAAGCACAATTCCTTCTTAGAAGAAGATAGATAATTTGGCTCATACATCATGGCATAGGTAACATTTTTTTATAAAAATCTAGAGTGCCAGGGTTCTAATCTGCAATCCAGTCAACAGAATGTTGGTTTAAAAAAAAAAGTTGGATTCAAAACAAAGGAGATGGAAGGTTTGTGGGCTGTCTTACCCAGGTCAGGGAGAGGCCTCTAATGAAAGCTCACCTTGCAGTGACCTCATTGCTAGAGTTTCTTCCCAGCTTCCCAGCCTCTTCTTTATACTTATATTTCATGAGATAATTAATGTTTGTCAAAAGTGAATTTTTATGCAGAAATATTCAGCGGGAATTCTGATTTAATATAACCTCTTAGCATGAAAAAAAAGTAATTACTGTAAAACACATTTTCCCAATCAATTTATGGGCAATTTCTGTTTTGGATTTCTGTAGTTGCTCCAATAATTGCCCATCTCGTATGCCTTCCAAACAGGTCCCCTACCTCCTGTCATAATTATTTAACTACACCTTGGAACTAGAGAACAGGAGAGCTACCCTGAGTTGTGCACTCTTACAGCCAGAATGTTTTCAATGGGGAATGTCACAAAAGACAAACAAGTTCAATTGCTTATAGAACAACTTTTCAGCCAGACATTTTCAGTGAAAATTATTTCATTGTGCAGTATGACATCTAAAAGTCATAACCATAATAAAAATATTGTTTTCCTTATCATCTTTTTTCCAGTAAAGGTGAGCTCTGGGGGAGTAGGGTCTTTATGGTGCACTCAGCACCTCAGTCTGTGATTATCATGTAATAAGCTATAATAGCACATGGTAGAGACTCAATAACCATTTGTTGGATCAAATGCACTTTTTTTGTGGCCCTTGTACTAATCCTATATAATAAAAAGCTAATATGCAAATTGACCAAACGGCAGAACGACCAGTCGCTATGATGTGCACTGACCACCAGGGGGCAGATGCTCAATGCAGGAGCTGCTCCCTGGTGGTCAGTGTGTTCCCACGGGGGGAGCACCGCTCAGCCAGAAGCCCTGAACCAGGCTTATGGCTGGCGAGCTCAGCGGCAGTGGCGGAGCCTCTCCGCCTCCGTGGCAGCGCTCAGGATTTTCGACTGACAGACATCAGTGGAAACATCCCCCAAGGGTTCCTGGACTGCGAGAGGGAACAGACCTGGCTGAGGGAACTCCCAAGTGCACGAATTTCATGCACCGGGCCTTTAGTGTTAATATAATAGACATTATGATAATTAACAGTGCCCAGAAGTGGAAATCAGAGACTTGCAAATTTACCACCAACAAGCAATTTTAAATGAGTGACTTCTCTGAACCTTTCTTTGCTTATCAGAAAATTGAGAATTGGAGTAGATTATTTTTTAGGTCCCATCCATTTATAAAATGGCATCTCTCTCCATCTTCACTTAGGATAATGTAACACATCTTATCCCAGGGCATGCCAACTTTCTTTGGTTGTTTGGAAAAGTGTTTCTGGTAGAAATGGGGTGGAGACAATAAAGTGGCCCCAGAGCTGATCACTGAGAACTCCTCCCTGGAGGCTACCCACAGTAATTTAGGAATACAGAATACTCGGCCAGTCCAGGACATTTGGGAAGGGATATCTATTCCAGAAGGAATAAATTCTTGATCTAGACCCTTGGCTAATGTCAAAAGAATCACGTTTCTCAATCAATCCAGTGAGGAAAAACTCCTAGGACAAACATCCTCTAGCATGAGAGCTACCTGAATGGATAAAACCAGAGATCTGAAAGCTCAGGGAGAAAATGGAGCTACCAGGAGAGGACAGTTAGGCAAGGGCAAAGTCCTTGGGGGCAGTGTGTTCATAGAGTATGGCAGGCAGAACTCAGGGATTGTAAGTGATACCTGGAAACACTTTTTACGAACAATAGGACTGAGGGACTGCAATTCTCCTATTGCAAAATACTTACTTTTTTCTGGATATTTATTTTATTTTAATAACACTTCCTCATGATGTATTAGTGGTCACTGCATTTTTACTTTAGGGAGTCAATGTTCAGGTCCTATTAGTCAAGAAGAGAGAGTTTTTGAGTGGGAGCTTGAATAAAATAATGGGGTTTCACCCTCCAGTGCCAGACACTTCTGTCCCTAGGTTTAGATGATAATTACTATTTCTTACGTGAACCATAGGCACTCAGGTG